GGGGCTGGTGGAGCCGCGGGGGCGACTAGGGTCGACTCCAGCGGCAGCGGCAGCAGCAGCAGCAGGAGGAGGAGGATGATGAAGGGTGGTGGAGGTGGTGGAGGTGGTGGAGGAGGAGGAACGCCGCTGGTGGCTGACGGAGGAAAGAGGGCGGCAGTGGCAGCAGCAGCGGCGGCGTCGGTGGCAGAGGAGGTGGAGGAGGAGGTGGAGGAGGCGAGGAGCGCTGCGAGGAGGAGACGCCGCCATCACCACCGCCACCACCATTCGGCGTGGCTCTGGGTGGGGACCGGAGCAAGCAAAGGGACCCACGCCGGTGAGGAAACACGCGGGGGAAGGACAGGGCGGGAGTGGTCGAGGGGGTAGAGGAGGGGAAGGAGGAGAGGGTGACCTCTGGAATTCAGGAGGTCCGCTGGACTGATGCTCTGGTAATTGTTTATTTACCCTTTTATCTGGCAACAAAACTGACACCTTTTTTACGAGGAGTCGTGTTTGCATTGACCGCAATAGCTGCGGTCGTAATGCAAACAAAACACACAACTCTGATAATGTATGCACTGTCCTTGAAGTTGATTGGTCCACACCCGAGACAGCTTTCCTTAGAGCCCAGTCTCACATGGTCCTTGAAGTTGATTGGTCCACACCCGAGACAGCTTTCCTTAGAGCCTAGTCTCACATGGTCCTTGAAGTTGATTGGTCCACACCCGAGACAGCTTTCCTTAGAGCCTAGTCTCACATGGTGCTTGAAGTTGATTGGTCCACACCCGAGACAGCTTTCCTTAGAGCCTAGTCTCACATTGGTGTTGGACCAGATGACGCCAAAAGGCACACAACTCAAAGACAATGCACCATCAGAGTATGAGAGCTCGGGGTAAGCATTTACACCATTGGAACCTCATTTGCCAGTAGCAAAATATGATGATTGGTTTTTACCCTTTTATCTGGCAACAAAACTGACACCTTTTTTACGAGGAGTCGTGTTTGCATTGACCACAATAGCTGCAGTCGTAATGCAAACAAAAACACAACGTAAATTTCGATTTAAAGCTTTCGTGACTGCAGGGATTCATCTTCTTGGTTCTTTCGGTAAAGTCACGTAGAAGGGAATAAAAAATAAACATTATAAGATAATTCTCACGACGTTTCGGCCACAACGCAAGCAGCCGTTCTCAGGTGAAGACCAGGTCTGTCGGGGAGACAGCGTCTGAATGCACTGTCCTTGAAGTTGATTGGTCCACACCCGAGACAGCTTTCCTTAGAGCCTAGTCTCACATGGTGTTGGACCAGATATCGCCAGATAAAAGGGTAAAAAAACAATTGTCATATTTTTCTACTGGCAAATGAGGTTCCAATGGTGGTTCTCTGGTGTCTCTGGAGATGAGAGGCTGCCACTCCTCTGTCGGGAGCTGGACTGGTGCCGTTTGGACCTTCCGTTGAATACAGGAGTTCCCCTTGGACTGGTTCTGGTGCGAGAGGCTGCCACTCCTCTGTCGGGAGCTGGACTGGTGCCGTCTGGACCTTCCGTTGAATACAGGAGGGCTCCTGGAATGCTTCCGATGTGTATGGAGAGTAGAGGTTGCCATTCTTCTTTCGATAACTCGACCAGTTTTGATGTCTGTAGAGAGGGAGAGGCTGCCACTCCTCTGTCGGGAGCTGGACTGGTGCCGTTTGGACCTTCCGTTGAATACAGGAGTTTCCCTTGGACTGGTTCTGGTATGAGAGGCTGCCACTTCTCTGTCTGGAGCTGGACGGCTGCCGTTTGGACCTTCCGTTGAATACAGGAGTTCCCCTTGGACTGGTTATGGTGTGAGAGGCTGCCACTCCTCTGTCTGGAGCTGGGCTGGTGCCGTTTGGACCTTCCGTTGAATACAGGAGTTTCCCTTGGACTGGTTCTGGTGTGAGAGGCTGCCACTCCTCTGTCGGGAGCTGGACTGGTGCCGTCTGGACCTTCCGTTGAATACAGGAGGGCTCCTGGAATGCTTCCGATGTGTATGGAGAGTAGAGGTTGCCATTCTTCTTTCGATAACTCGACCAGTTTTTACGTCTGTAGAGAGGGAGAGGCTGCCACTCCTCTGTCGGGAGCTGGACTGCTGCCGTTTGGACCTTCCGTTGAATACAGGAGTTCCCCTTAGACTGGTTTCTGGTGTGAGAGGCTGCCACTTCTCTGTCTGGAGCTGGACTGCTGCCGTTTGGACCTTCTGTTGAATACAGGAGTTCCCCTTGGACTGGTTATGGTGTGAGAGGCTGCCACTCTTCTGTCGGGAGCTGGACTGGTACCGTCTGGACCTTCCGTTGAATACAGGAGGGCTCCTGGAATGCTTCCGATGTGTATGGAGAGTAGAGGTTGCCATTCTTATTTCGATAATTCGACCAGTTTTCATGTCTGTAGAGAGGGGAGGCTGCCACTCCTCTGTCGGGAGCTGGACTGGTGCCGTTTGGACCTTCCGTTGAATACAGGAGTTTCCCTTGGACTGGTTATGGTGTGAGAGGCTGCCACTCTTCTGTCGGGAGCTGGACTGGTACCGTCTGGACCTTCCGTTGAATACAGGAGTTTCACCTGGACTGGTTATGGTGTGAGAGGCTGCCACTCCTCTGTCGGGAGCTGGACTTGTGCCGTTTGGACCTTCCGTTGAATACAGGAGTTTCACCTGGACTGGTTATGGTGTGAGAGGCTGCCACTTCTCTGTCTGGAGCTGGACTTGTGCCGTCTGGACCTTCCGTTGAATACAGGAGTTTCCCTTGGACTGGTTCTGGTATGAGAGGCTGCCACTTCTCTGTCTGGAGCTGGACGGCTGCCGTTTGGACCTTCCGTTGAATACAGGAGTTTCCCTTGAACTGGTTCTGGTGTGAGAGGCTGCCACTCCTCTGTCGGGAGCTGGACTGCTGCCACCTGGACCTCATTGTGATGTTGTTGATGTTGTTGTAAAGATATGCCTGGGTTGGTGATGTTACTATTACAGATGTGCCCGTTTTGTTGATGTAGTGGGACGATGTAGATGATGTCACCATGATGGTTGTGCAGACATGGTGTTGTTGATGTTGACTTCGCCTAGACATGGCCTTGCCGGTGATGTGGTTGATTTTGATGATGTCGTAGATTTTCACGACGTTGACGATGATGACGACGATGATGACGATGACGATGATGACGTTGCCTAGAGATACCCTTGTCGGTGATGTGGTTGATTTTGATGATGTCGTAGATTCTCACGTCGTTGACGATGACGACGATGACGATGACGATGATGACGTTGCCTAGAGATGCCCTTGTCGGTGATGTGGTTGATTTTGATGTCGTAGATTCTCACGACGATGACGATGATGATGATGACGTTGCCTAGACATGCCCTTGCGGGTGATGTGGTTGATTTTGATGATGTCGTAGATTTTCACGACGATGACGATGATGATGACGATGATGACGTTGCCTAGACATGCCCTTGCCGGTGATGTGGTTGATTTTGATGATGTCGTAGATTTTCACGACGTTGACGATGATGATGACGTTGCCTAGACATGCTCTTGCCGGTGATGTGGTTGATTTTGATGTCGTAGATTTTCACGTCGATGACGATGATGACGATGACGATGATGACGTCGCCTAGACATGCTCTTGCCGGTGATGTGGTTGATTTTGATGTCGTAGATTTTCACGTCGATGACGATTATGACGATGATGACGATGATGATGATGACGTCGCCTAGACATTCCCCTTGCCCAGGGGTCGGCAACCTACGGCTCCGGAGCCGCATGCGGCTCTTTACAGGCTGCTTCTTGACGATATGTACAGTATGTACTCAGATGCATTGCGGCTCTTGAAATACTGAATTTTGTACCGAATTGGAAAGAAATGGCTCTTCTTGTTATTTTGGTTGCCGACCCCTGCTCTTGCCGGTGATGTGGTTGATTTTGATGTCGTAGATTTTCACGACGTTGACGACGATGATGATGATGATGATGACGACGATGACGATGATGATGACGTTTCCCAGACATGCCCGTGCTGATGTTGGAGCCCAGCTCTTCATCCACCCTCGGTCCAACACCGCCGGCTCCCCCCCCAACCACCACCACCGCCGCCGCGGCGGTAACGACGGCCACCACCGCCGCCGCGCCCTCCTCCCCGCCGCTCGTGTTGACCCCCCGCAAGCGCGGCTGGCCCAAGGGGCTCAAGAGGGGTCCCCCCGCCATCTCCCGCCGACGCAGACGCCGCCACGTTCGGCGGAGCGGAACCGCCTCGTCGCGGTCCACGTCCACGCGGACCGGGGCAGGAGACGGGGCGGCTGAGAGACCGGAGGATGATGATGAGGATGATGATGAGGACGATGAGGACGATGATGAGGACGATGAAGACGACGATGGGGATGAGGAAGAGGGGGTAGGGGAAGAGGAAGAGGAGGAGGAGGAGAAGGAGGAGCCGGAGGAGGATAGAGAGACGGAGATATGGAAAGAGCGATTGGCGGAGAGGGGAGAGGAGAGCTCAAAGGAGAGCTGCAAGGCGGCGACGGAGATGGACAAGGATGTTCCGAGCGAGAGGGGAGCGGTCGCGGAAAGGCGCGGAGAGAGGGTGGCAGAGCGGAGGGAGTCGGAGGAGAGAGTCGTCGCGGAGAAGATCGGCAGGAAAGGGGGTCCCCAGTTGCCTGTGGTGCCGGTGGTGGCGGCGGTGGAGAGGGCAGCTGTGGGAGAGGAGGGGGGTGAGGAGGAGAGGGACGCGGGGAGAGCCGAGAGAGACGCAAGGAAAGTCGGGAGAGACAAGGAGAGAGCCGAGAGAGACGCCGCGGGGAGATCCGATAGAGATCCGGTGAAATCCGATAAAGAGTCGGGGAGATCCGATAGAGATCCGGTGAAATCCGATAGAGATGCGGTGAAATCCGATAGAGATGCGGTGAAATCAGATCGAGTGCCGGTGAAATCCGATAGAGATCCGGTGAAATCAGATCGAGTGCCGGTGAAATCCGATAGAGATTTGGTGAAATCGGATAGAGATTCGGTGAAATCCGACAGAGATCCGGGGAAGATCCGATCGAGCGAAGGAGCGTGCCAAGGACCGGTCACGGGAACCGGGGAGTGACAGGAAGGGCGGCGAGCGGGGCAAGGCGGCGGCGGCGGGGGACGGTGACGAGACGCGGGAGGAATCCGTAACTCCGGCGGGGAGAGCTCCGGACGGGAGCGCGGAGCGAAAGGCCGAGAGGGGCCCGCCGGAGAGAGTCCGAGGTGGGGCGGACGGCGAGGAGGAGAGGCGGAGGAGGAGGAGGAGGAGCGCGGATCGTCGGAGAGCGGCGAGGCCGGAGGGCGAGAAGCCTGGGGAGGAAAGGAAAGACGAGGGGGAGGAGGAGTGCAGTCGGGCAAAGAGGGCCCGGCTGAGGGATGCCGTAGAGACTACGGCGGTGACGGCGGCTACGGCTACTGCTACGAGGAGGAGGAGAAGGAGCAGGCGGGGAGGAGCGGAGGGGGAGGAGGGGAGGGACGCGAGCACAACGGACACGGAGGTGGACGCGGAGAAGAGGCGGGCCAAGAGAGCCAGGGGGAGTGTCGGAGGCCAAGCGGAGGGGCGGGCAACGGAGGAGAGAGCCGAGGGGAGAGACGCCGCTGTGGAAGTGGACGCCGAGGGGAGAGGCAACGCGGAGGGGAGAGGGAAAGCTGGGGGGAGAGTCAAGGGTAGAGAGGACGCGGAGAGGAGATCGGCTGACAGAGCCAAGGGGAGAGAAACCATTGTGGAAGTGGACGCGGAGGAAAGGGCCAGGGTTGGAGTGAGCGCCGAGAGGAGATCGACGGACAGAGCCAAGGGGAGAGACGCCGATGTGGAGGTGGATGCGGAGGGGAGGGCCAGGGTTGGAGTGAGCGCCGAGAGGAGATCGGAGGGGAGAGCAAAGGGGAGAGAAACCGCTGTGGAGGTAGACACGGAGGGGAGGACCAGGGTTGGAGTGAGCGCCGAGAGGAGATCGACCGACAGAGCCAAGGGGAGAGACGCCGCTGTGGAGGTGGATACGGAGGGGAGGGCCAGGGTTGGAGTGAGCGCCGAGAAAAGATCGGAGGGGAGAGCAAAGGGGAGAGAAACCGCTGTGGAGGTGGATGCGGAGGGGAGGACCAGGGGGGGAGTGAGCGCCGAGAGGAGATCGACCGACAGAGCCAAGGGGAGAGAAACCGTTGTGGAGGTGGACACGGAGGGGAGGGCCAGGGTTGGAGTGAGCGCCGAGAGGAGATCGGAGGGGAGAGCAAAGGGGAGAGAAACCGCTGTGGAGGTAGACACGGAGGGGAGGACCAGGGGGGGAGTGAGCGCCGAGAGGAGATCGACCGACAGAGCCAAGGGGAGAGACGCCGCTGTGGAGGTGGACGCGGAGGGGAGAACCAAGGGGGGAGTGAGCGCCGAGAGGAGATCGACCGACAGAGCCAAGGGGAGAGAAGCCGCTGTGGAGGTGGACGCGGAGGGGAGGACCAGGGTTGGAGTGAGCGCCGAGAAAAGATCAACGGAGGGACGAGCCAAGGGGAGGCTCAAGGAGGAGAGCGACAGAGACGCGGAGAAGGTGGTGGTGGTGGAGCGGCTGAAGGGGAGGGCCGGAGATCGCACCACCACCACCACCACCGCCACCACCGTCAGGAGGGGGGGAGCGGCGGTTCCGCCGGGGCAGGAGGCCTCCGGCAGGAAGCAACGGCGGCGAGCTGGAGACCCGAATCTGGCCGAGCGAGCGGCCCGGCAGCCCCCGACCGACTCGAAACGTCGCGCCGGGCCGGCCACCGCCGCCGCCGACAACAACCCGGCTGCGGAGGAGGTGGAGGAGGAGGAGGAGGAGGCGGTGGCCGACGAAGAGGAGGCAGAGGAGGAGGTGGAGATGAAGAGGAGAGCCACGGCGGAGCCCGGCGGAGGCCGAGGGAACATCTCCCGCGGCGCCGGCGAGAATCGGGCAGCCGTGCCGTCGACGGAGGAGTTGACGGGGGAAGAGGCGGAAAGGCGGGGCCAGGAGGAGGAGGAGTTGGCGGTGGTGGTGGAGCCTCCACCTCCACCTCGGCCCTCACGTCCCCCGAGGCCGCACGAGGAGACGCGGAGTAGGAGGAGGAGGAGCAGGAGGGGGGCGACGCCGGTAGCCCGGCGACGGCGGCGGCGGAGACGTCGCGACGCCGACGAAGAGGAGCCAGGGGAGGGGGACGACCACGATGACCACGACGAGGAGGAGGATGAGGAGGAGGAGGACGATGAGGAGGAGGAGGCGAAGGTGGTGGCGGATCAAGGCGACGGAGAGGAGGGGGGCGAGCTGGGGGGCGAGGAGGGGTCCGCGTCGACGACAGCGACGTCCGAGTGCGGGGCGGGGAGCGGCGGGCACGGGGAGCGGCGGACTTCGAGGCCCAAGGCCAAGAGGCCTCGGCACGGGGAAGTCACGGGGACGCCCAGGAGGGGCGGGGGCGGCGGCAGGCTCGGCATGCCAGGGAAGGCCGAGGAGGAGGAGGAGGAGGGTCCTGTGGGGGAGGACGGGGCGGTACCGGAGGTTCCCACGGCGGCGGCGGTTGGCCGGCAGGAGCAGCAGCAGCAGGAGCAGCATGAGCAGCAGCATGAGCAGCAGCAGCAGCAGCAGGAGCAGCAGCAGGAGCAGCAGCAGCAGCAGGCGAATGAGGAGGAGGAGGAGGCTGCAAAGGAAGCCGCCACCACCGCCTCGGGGTTGGTCGACCCCGCGGGGGATGAAGTGAAACCGGCGGCTGCGTCGCCCCCGCCGCGTAGGCCCAGGAGGCAGGGGGCACTGGCGGCAATCGCCGCCACCACCAGCAGCACCAGCACGGCCGTTGAGAAACAGCAGCGGCGCAGGAAGGATAAGCAGCAGCAGCTGGCCCAGCAGCAGCCGTTGCCGCTGGTTCCGCTGGTTCCGCTGGTGCCGCTGGTACCGCTGGTGCCGGCGGTGGCGGCGGTGGCGGCGGTGGCGAGGGAGAGCGCCCGACCGTTGGGGCGTGAGGTGGTCTGCGTGGAGCGCGATCCGGAGACTGAGCGGGCCGTTGAGTCGCTCACCCAGGAGGCTCGGGCCCGGCGCTCGGCCAGAGACGGCCACCACCTCCTCCACCAGCAACTCCACCACCAGCAGCAGCAGCTGCAGCAGCAGCAGCAGCAGCTCCTCCGTCACGACGATGACCACGGTGGCGGCGGCGGCGGCGATCGTCGCCACCATCGCCACCAGGAGGAGGACGACGATGAAGACGACGTCACCGAGGAGTTGATGGCGGCGGCGGCCGCGGCGGCCGTAGCCGCTGCCGCCGCGGCCGAGGAGGCTGAGGGACGCCAGGAGGACGACGACGACGACGACGATGACGAGGAGGTGGACGAGGAGGAGGAGTTGGAGGATGATGTGGAGGCGGGGGGGAGAAGGGCGGCTGACGGGGTCACTCTCGCGGAAGCCGACTGCCCTTGTCCGACCGCGCTTGCCGGCGGTGGAGTCGACGGAGGCGGCTTCGTCGGCGATGTCGAGGAGGACGACGATGAGGACGACGATGAGGACGACGATGAGGACGACGATGAGGAGGATGAGTCCGTTGAAGCTGCCGCGGATGTGGGACAGCAACGGAATCAGCGACAGGAAGTGGATGAGCGGCGACAGGAAGTGGGGGACGGGCGACAGGAAGTGGGGGAGGGGCAGCGACAGGAAGTGGGGGAGGGGCAGCGACAGGAAGTGGGGGAGGGGCAGCGACAGGAAGTGGTTGAACAGCGACAGGAAGTGGGGGAGATGCAACAGGAAGTGGTTGAACAGCGACATGAAGTGGAGGAGGAGGAGGCCGATTTGGCGGAGGAGGAGGCGGCAGCGGCGGCGGCGGCGGCTTCGCCTGAGACGGCCGAGGCCATCCGCCACCTGGAGCACAGCGAGCAGCACAGCCCCGTGGCCATCGGTGGTGCGGTGCCTCACCACCACGACCACCACGACCACCACCACCACCACCTGCTCCACATCAACAACGACGTGGAGGAGGAGGACGAGGAGGAGGAGGATGAGGAGGATGAGGAGGAGCGGCGCGTTGGTGCTGCAGATGAGCGGCAGGAGGACGATGATGAGGTGGAGGATGATGATGATGAGGAGGAAGAGGCTGGCCACTCGGGGGAGCTCCGGACGACAAGGAGGAAGAAGAGGGTCGGGGTGGTGGAGGTGGCGGTGCCGGTGGTGGCGGGCGACGAATCTCCGGAGGAGGAGGAGGAGAAGATGGCGGCGACGGTCGACTCTCGGCCACCCCACTCGCCTCCTTGTCGCCCTCCTGAGGAGGTGGACCAGGAGGAGGAGGAGGAGAAGGAGGACCCAAGGCCACAGGCGCCCGGAGCTGAGTTTGGAGCCCCGGGAACGGAGTTCGGAGCCCCGGGAACGGAGTTCGGAGGTCCGGGAACGGAGTTCGGAGCTCCGAGATCGGAGTTCGGAGGTCCGGGAGCCGAGTTTGGAACTCCGAGATCGGATTTCGGAGCTCCGAGATCGGACTTTGGAGCTCCGAGATCGGATTTCGGAGCTCCGAGATCGGAGTTCGGAGGTCCGGGATCGGAGCCCCTCGCCCCGGCGGCCGGGAACACCGCTACGGAATGCCGGGCCCCAGAGGGCCCCACGGCGGAGGGTCCCAGGGCGGAGGTGGAGGCCCCCACGGCGGAGGGTCCCACGGCGGAGGCGGCAGCGGTGGAGTTCCGGACCGAGATGGGGTTCGCCGAATCGGCGCGTCGCCGTGGCCACGCCGTCCAATCGGCGTTGACGACAAACGCTCGTGCCCCCAGCCAATCGGAATTCACTCCGACACACCCCAGCCAATCGGAATTCACACCGACACACCCCAGCCAATCGGAATTCACCCCGACACACCCCAGCCAATCGGAATTCACGCCCACCCGCCCCAGCCAATCGGAATTCACTCCGACCCACCCCAGCCAATCAGAATTCACACCGACACACCCCAGCCAATCGGAATTCACCCCGACACACCCCAGCCAATCGGAATTCACGCCCACCCGCCCCAGCCAATCGGAATTCACCCCGACCCACCCCAGCCAATCAGAATTCACCCCCACTCACCCCAGCCAATCACAGTTCACGCCGACACACCCCAGCCAATCGGAATTCACCCCGACACACCCCAGCCAATCGGAATTCACCCCGACCCATCCCAACCAATCGGAATTCACTCCGACCCACCCCAGCCAATCAGAATTCACCCCCACTCACCCCAACCAATCACAGTTCACACCGACACACCCCAGCCAATCGGAATTCACCCCGACCCGCCCCAGCCAATCGGAATTCACGCCCACTCACCCCAGCCAATCGGAATTCACCCCGACCCATCCCAGCCAATCGGAATTCACTCCCACTCACCCCAACCAATCACAGTTCACGCCGACACACCCCAGCCAATCGGAATTCACGCCCACTCACCCCAGCCAATCGGAATTCACCCCGACCCACCACAGCCAATCGGAATTCACCCCGACCCACCCCAGCCAATCGGAATTCACCCCGACCCGCCCCAGCCAATCGGAATTCACGCCGACGCGCGTCAGCCAATCGGACTACGGCACGCCGCACGCCGCCGTGCCGAGCGGCAAGTTCCTGGCGTCGCGGTCGCAGCGACCGCACCCGGAGTACTCCTCCCCCCCGTCGGCCAGCCACCCCGACTACCAGGCCGGCAACGTTTGCCGAGGCCCGCCGATCCCCCCGTCCGCCGGCGACTACCGCCGCTCCCCGGCGCTGGCCAGGCGCGAGGCCTACCAGGCTCAGGCTGCGGCAGCTGGACTGGCGCCCCCCCCACTGCCGGCGGCTTCGCCGGCGTCGTCTTCGCCGGCGTCCTCGGCGTCGTCGGCGTCCTTGGCGACGGCGTACGACTTCCAGTCGCGCCGCGACTTTGTCCTGCTCCAGGCACGAGCCGCAGCCGGCTTCTGCGGAGGAGACTCCGGCGTCGCCGGCGGGGGCGGAGGGTGCCAGCCGTCGGCGGCAGCAGCAGGCCGCGTGCGGGCAAGCGGCGGCGGCGGCGGCGGCGGCGGCGGGTCCGGTGGCTCGTTCTCTAGCGGCCAGGCGGTTCACGGAGACTTCAGCCCTCCTTTGCCAAGTCTGCAGCAGCAGCAGCAGCTTATGATGCAGCAGCAGCAGCAGCAGCTGATGCAGCAGCAGCAGCACAAGATGTCTCGAGGCGGCGTTGGTGGCAGCGGAGGAGACATCCCGGCGATCCCCTTCACCGTCATCAAGTCCCACTCGGGAGCGTCGCCCGCCGGCGATTTCCTGCGGGCGCTTGGCAAGGCTCACGACCGCAGCCCCGGCGGGGGCCCGGGACCGCTCGGTGAACGGCGCAGCCCGCTGGGCCAAGCGGTCGGGGAGTCGTCGTCGTCCTCGTCGTCGTCGTCGGCTGCTGCCGGGGCCGTCACCGGCGCGGCGAGCCCCATGTCGTCGGTGCACTCCCACGGGGGCGGCTCGGAGCTGTCGAGCCCCGTGGGCTCCGTGCCCTCGTCACACCGCAGCCAATCGGTGCACTCGGTTAGCAGCCCGCCTCAGCCTCAGCAGCCTCCGCAGCAGCAGCAGCCGCCGCCGCAGCAGCAGCCCCCCCCTCCGCCTCCCCTTCCGCCACCCGGCGGGTCTCTGGGCGGCGTCATCGGCGGCGGCGGCGGCGGCGACGTGGAGGCGAGCCCCATCGTGTCGGACGCCTCGCAACCAGTTGGAGACTCGGGCTTCAGCGACCTGGGCAGCATGGACAGCACCGGCGCCGGAGATTCTTACGAGGGCGGCGGCGGCGGCTCTGGAACGAGCGGCGGGAGCGGCGGCGGTGGTTCCTACGACGGCCCAAGCCTCCAGCAGCAGCAGCAGCAGGGAGTGGTCGGTAGCGGCGGTAGCAGCTGCTCCTACGGCCTTGTCCACCACCAGGACGCTGCCGCCACCTGCAACCTCGTCCAGCTGCGGGCGGCTTCGGCCGTGCAGCAGCAGCAGCAGCAGCAGCGGCAGCAGCAGCAGCGAAGCAGTGGAGCTTCAGCCGCGTCGGCTCGGGCAGCCCTGCAACAGCAACAACAGCAGCAGCAGCAGCAGAGGGTTGGTTCACCAGCTACGTGTGGACTGAAAGCACAGGGTGGTGGTGGCGGCGGTGGTGGTGGTGGTGGATACCGGAGAGTGAGCGGTGGTGGCGGTGGTGGCGGCGGTGGTGGCGGTGGTGGCGTTGGCATCCGCTCCCTCTGCATGGCCTCATTCGCCCAGCAGGGCCACAGCGCCGAGTTGCTGGGCCCGATCCCTCCGTCGCTGGGCTGCGCCACATCCTCTTCCGCGACCTTGGGCTCCTCTTCCTCCTCGTCCTCCTCATCGTCGGCGCAGCAGCAGCAGCAGCAGCTCCAGCTTCAGCAGCAGCAGCAGCAGCATCACCACCACCATCAGCAGCAGCAGCACCACCAGCACCACCACCATCAGCACCACCACCACCAGCAGCTGGCGGCCACCATGAGCCTGTACGAGCGACTGGGCCAGGGTGACTACGGCTTTGGGCCCGGGGCGGCCGCAATGGCCGCTGCCGTGCAAGCGGCGGCCGTCCAAAACTCTGCGTCCTTCAGCCTGGCCCGCCTGCAGCAGCTCACCAACGGCCTGGTGGAGCACACCCTTGGCTACGGCGCTTCGCCCGTAGCCACCCCCGGCGGCGGCGGGGGCGGTACCGCCGGTTCGTCGTCCGCAGGCGGCGGGCCTCCGTCGGCCTACGCCCAGGCTGGGCCGTCGGCGTCTCCCGGCTACGGCGGCGGTGGGGTGACGTCGACCGGGGTGCTGTCGCACCTCCCGGCTGCCGGCTCCACTCCGCCGCCTCCGACGCCGACTTCGACGCAATCTCCCCACATGGGCATGAGCCACCACCACCAGCAGCAGCAGCACCACCACGCTCACGCTCACCACCTCCACGCTCACCACGCGCCTCACCTCCACCACCACGCGCAGCGCGCACAGCTCAAGGGACCCTCCTCCTCCGGCGGTGGCGGCGGCGGCGGCGGCGGTGGTGGTGGTGGTGGTGTCGGTGCCGGAGGGGGACCGGGAAGTTTGTCCGCGCCCGGCAGTGGCGGCGGTGGAGCCGGCCCCGACGGCGGCGGTAGCGTGGGGGCCTCGCCGGCGAGCCAACCGCCGGGCGGGCAGCTCTTCAGCTGCACGGCCATGCAGCAGTCGCGGGTACTCGGAACGCCCCCGGCCGCCTCCCAGAGGGGCGTGGCGGCGATGGGCGGCCTCGGACTTCTGGCGTCTTCCGGCGGAGGCGGAGGCTTGGGGGGCGTGGGAGGAGCCCCGAACCCCACCCACGGCGGGGCCTACGGACCGACCGCCATCCAGTACCGCGTGCACCCGCACGGGCAGCACCACCCGCCTCACCCGCACGCCGGCGGGCACGCCCACGGCGGACACCCCGGACACCCAGGACACCCGGGACACCCCGGCCACCCAGGACACCCGAACCTTCACCCCCACGCCGCTCACCCGCACCACCCGCACCACCACCCGCACGCCCACCCTCACGCCCACCACCACCACCACCACCACGCGGCCGCCTACGGATACGTAGCGCAGCCGCAGTATCAGGTGGGGCCCTTGGGGATGATGGCGTTGTCGCACCAGGAGCAGCACCCGGCGGCAGCGGCGGCGGCGGCCGCGGCGGCGGCTTCGGCGGTCCCGTCCGGCGCCGGGGGGGCTACGGGCGGCGGTGGTCAGGGCGGCGGGGGCGGTGGCGGGGGCGGTGGGTCGCACCACGGCTCCATGCTGTGCTCGCCCGTGGCCGGCGGTGGAGTTCAGCCGGTCGGCGGTGCTGGAGGTGGAGTCCACCCCCACGCTCACCCCCACGCTCACCCCCACGCTCACCCACACGCTCACCCGTTGGCCCACGCCCACCCCACCCACACACCGCCACCGGCTGCCCAGCAGCAGCAGCAGCAGCAACCGGCGGTGACGCCCTCGCAGGGAGGGGCGGCCGCCGCTTCCGCTAACTCTGCAGCCGGCGGCGGTGGCGTCGGGGTGAACGTTCCTCACCACCACCACCAGCAGCAGCAGCAGCATCAGCAGCAGCAGCAGCAGCAGCTGGGCCACCCTCACCACGTTCACCACGCTCACCACGCCTCCGCCGCTCACCACGCCGTTGCACAGCACCACGCCGCCGCCGCGGCGGCGGCGGCGGCAGCGGCGGCGGCGGCAGCGGCGGCGGCTGCCTACATGGGGAAGGGGGGAGGGGGGGCTGCTGCTGCGGGGAGCGCTGGAGGGGGAGGGGGGAAGGGCGGCGGTGGGAGGGGAGCAGGGGGGGGCTACATGCGGCGGTGACCCCCTCCTTACCACCGGAGACAGACGGTGAACCCCTCCTCCTTACCGCCGAAAACAAAGACGGTGACCCCTTCCTTACCGCCGGAGATGGAAGACGGTGAATCCTACCGGAGTCGAAGACCGTGACGGTCCCTCCTTACTGCCGAAGACAAAGACGGTGACCCCTACCGGAGTCAAAGACCGTGACGGTGAACCCCTCTTTACCGCTGAAGACAAAGGCGGTGAGCCCTACTGGAGTCGAAGACCGTGACGGTCCCCCCTTACCGCCGAAGACAAAGACGGTGACCCCCTCCTTACCGCCGGAGATAAAGAACGTGAACCCTACCTTAGACGAAGACGGTGAACCCCTCCTTACCGCAGGAGACAAAGACGGTGACGCCCCCCCTACCGCCGAAGACGAGGAGGATGACCCCTCCTGGAATCGAAGACGGTTACACCCCCCCTACCGCCAGAGACGAAGGCGGTGACCCCTACCGTAGATAAAGACGGTGAACCCCTCCTTACCGCCGGAGACAAAGACGGTGAACCCCTCCTTACCGCCGAAGACAAAGACGGTGAACCCCTACCAGAGTCAAAGACCGTGACGCCCCCTCCTTACCGCCGGAGACAAGGAGGGTGACCCCTACCTTAGACAAAGACGGTGAACCCTCCTACCGCCGGAGACAAATTCGGTGACCCCTACCTTAGACAAAGACGGTGACGCCCCCCCTACCGCCGAAGACAAATGCGGTGACCCCTACCTTAGACGAAGACGGTGACGCCCCCCCCCCCTACCGCCGGAGACGCGGAGGATGACCCCTCCTGGAGACGAAGACTCCTACCGGATTTGAAGACGGTGACCGAACGTTTCTCTCACCAGGAGTCAAATGCCGGGACACGGTTTGAAGCCGCCGTGTCTCTCCACCAATGGGGAGAGGCGAGGGGGGGACGACTGCTGAAGTACCGCATCTCAAAAGTGTTACCCCCCCCCCCTGCCTAGGGAAGAAGACAAAGATGTGGGTGGACGTGGGAGCGTTGGTTGGTTAGGGGGGCGGAGAGGAGGGGGGGGGGTAGGAACGACGGTTCTCCGGAAACTTCCGCCCTCTCTCCTCGACAGGAAGTCGCGGACGTTGCCTCGACCGCTCCCAACGGTTGTTGTGTTGTTGTTGTTGTTGATTTTTTTTATTTTGGTTGGGGGGTTATTTTCGTCTATTATTTTTTCCCGGCCCGCCCCACCGCCGCTTTGGCTATCGGGGACAGGACGGCTGGGCGGGCTGTGCGGGATTAGGGGGGGGGGGGGGCATGCAATAGGAGCCACCGTGTGGGGGGGGGGGGTAAGGAGTAAGGTGCCGTTATAGGGGCAGCCGTGAGGGGGGGGGTGGTTGGGGGGGGGGTACGGTGCGCCTATGGGGGGAGATGTACAGCGTGTTAAAGTTCTTCCGCACAGCACACACGGAGACCTTCCGCGCTAAAGCGGAGGCGCTGGGACAGACAGACCGGCCAGCCCCCCAAAGGGGGATCGGGGGGTCCGGCTATAGGATATCCGGCTATAGGGGTCCGGCTATAGGGGGGGGGGGGTCCGGCTTGTGGGGGGCTACAAGGTGGCGCGTGTACATAGAAGCGGGGACGTCGCGTTTGCGTGTACATTGCTGGCGGGAGAGACGTGCGGCGAGGAAAAACCGCGGTGGCGGTGACGGTGGCGGTGGCGGCGTAGCCTGTCACCGCCAACGGCTTGCGGCAGGAGTTGCCGTGGGCGGTGTGACTGGTTGTTTGGTGGTGCTGGTGGTGGCGGTGGTGGTTGTTGTTCATTGGGCTGTTAGCTACCACCCCATAGCTTCCCGTGCCCTCCCTCTCGCCCCCTAGTCGAGACCACAACAACCGAAACCGCCACCGCCATCGACCACTCGTGTACATAGAGGTGGACGGACTCTGATGGGGCTGTTGTTGTTTCTTTTCGAGTTTTCACTTTTTTATTTTTTTCCTCGCCACGTAGTTTCCGACGCACGTCCGGTGCTTTTTGAGTTTTAGAGTTGAGCGCCTATCGCGTAACCCGCAGTGCGTTGGGGTCTACCCATCTCTCTTATCAATCTCTAACCATCTCTCTTATCAATCTCTAACCATCTCTCTTCGTTCTTTCGGTAAAGTCACGTAGAAGGGAAATAATAAAGTAATAAATATTAAACATAATAAAATACAATTCTCACAACGTTTCGGCCACAACGCAAGCAGCCGTCCTCAGGTGAAGAACAGGGCTGTCGGAAAGACAGCTTCAGAATGAGCACCACCATGCTTGACAGCGTAGATACTTAAATATATACTTAAATATACGCTGCCAAGCTTGGTGGTGTTCAGAAGAACAGGTCTGTCGGAAAGACAGCGTCTGAATTCAGATTCTGTCTTTCCGACAGACCTGTTCTTGGATGCACCACTGAGTTGGAGATGTCATTCAGACACTGTCTTTCCGACAGACCTGTTCTTCACCTGAGGACGGCTACTTGCGTTGTGGCCGAAACGTCGTGAGAATTGTATTTTATTACGTTTTATTTGTATTACTTTATTATCTCCCTTCTACGTGACTTTACCGAGAGAACCAAGAAGATGAATCCCTGCAGTCACGAAAGCTTTAAATCGAAATCTCTACCCATCTCTCTACCCATCTCTCTAACCATCTCTACCCATCTCTATGCATCTCTTCCCTCCCCCTCTATCCATCTCTTGAACCACCTTTCAATCTCTGACCGCGTGTCGAGAGCGAGCGGGGCCAAGGTTGTCTTATCAACACGGTGCGAAAGGAAGTCCCCCGAGTACCTGCGTACCAACATACGTACATAGCCGACCACACCAAACGTAGCAGCGGTCGGCTGAGAAAACCGGTACCCGGGGGAGTGAGATAGCCCCCTCGCCGAGTGCCCGGCGCAGCGACGCCGGGTTTGTGTCTGTAGCCGTCGCCGGTGGAGCGGGGAGAGACAAAGGTGGTTTGCCCCGAGGCTCCGTTGAGGCGCGGGCGGGAGGGTGGCGGAATGTTGTATAGAGGTTGTTACGTGCGACGCTGTCTCCAAGGCAGTAAGCGCCATGGTGGCTGTGTAGATGTCAGAGGTCGCAACCGGGTACCCGATACCTGTACCCTACCCGATACCCGGCTACCCGTACCCAGCCGGGTACGGGTAGCCGGGTAGACAGTGAGTCACTGGTGAGTAACTGTTTGTCACTCATTTCTCAACGTCTTGTCTCTTCTCACAATTCAAGTTCCTAGAATCAACCCACCCGCGCCTGCAACACGGCTTCATCCCAGAGGTCGCAATCGGGTACCCGATACCCGTACCCTACCCGTACCCGGCCGGGTACGGGTAGCCGTTTGCGACCCTGGTGCGGCCGGGTACGGGTAAGGAATCAAAACCCGTTTGCGACCTCTGCTTCATAGGTGCCGCTCGCTTAACGGCACTTGCCCCTACGGTCTGTCACGGGCTGTAAGCCGGGTCTGCTACGCTCATTGTAAAAATGGCCTTCCAGCATGTTTGGGTCGGCTCATCCTTCGAATGAATTTCTGCCGCCGCATGCAATGGCAGCCACCATGAAGACAAGAGGTCGGGCAGGAAACGGTAAAACTTCCCGGGATGTACAAATAAGTTGCTGTGGTCGTGGAGATTTGACGTGGTGATCCGTCATCGCGTGAGCATCTTTCGGGACGAGCCTTTTCGGCTTCGGTACTTGAGGTCGGGAGATAAAAAACTTGCATTGATCGGTTACCGACGTTGAAATCTCAGGGCCACTTAACGGGTGGATCGGTGGATGTATATCAGAGGTCGCAAACAGGTTTTGATTCCTTACCCGTACCCGGCCGCACCAGGGTCGCAAATGGGTACACGTACCTGGCCGGGTACGGGTACCCGTTCCCTACCCGTACCCTACCCGAAATGAGTGACAAACGGTGACTCACCAGTGACTCACGGCCTACTTGTACCCGTACCCGGCCGCACCAGGGTCGCAAATGGGTACACGTACCTGGCCGGGTACGGGTACCCGTTCCCTACCCGTACCCTACCCGAAATGAGTGATAAACGGTGACTCACCAGTGACTCACGGCCTACTTGTACCCGTACCCGGCCGCACCAGGGTCGCAAATGGGTACACGTACCTGGCCGGGTACGGGTACCCGTTCCCTACCCGTACCCTACCCGAAATGAGTGATAAACGGTGACTCACCAGTGACTCACGGCCTACTTGTACCCGTACCCGGCCGCACCAGGGTCGCAAATGGGTACCCGTACCTGGCCGGGTACGAGTACCCGTTCCCTACCCGTACCCTACCCAAAATGAGTGATAAATGGTTACTCACCAGTGACTCACGGCCTACTTGTACCCGTACCCGGCCGCACCAGGGTCGCAAACGGCTACCCGTACCCGGCCGGGTACACGTAGCCGGGTGTCGGGTAGGGTACGGGTATCGGGTACCCGGTTGCGACCTCTGATGTCGATCGGACGAGAAAGCGGTCTCCGTTGGGAAAAATATCGCGACTTTTCGATCGCAACGCAAGCAATCGTCAGGTGGGACAAGCGCCGCTAGAAAAAAAACTTTGCATGCCCCACCCAGCGCAGTCTGGGGCATGCGAAGACCCACAGCTTTGCTCGGGCATCGTTGGCGTAAGGCACTACCACTAGATTCCGAGCCGGACCTCTCTAGCCAATAGGAAGGGCCGTGCTCGCCGCAAGTCGCCTACAGACACGCCCCCCACCCGCTCTCGCCCGTGATTGGCCGCAACCGGGTCACGTGACCGATTGTAAAATGGCGGCGGCTGCTGGTGCACGTGTCGGCGGCCATTTTCCTTATCTCTCTCAATCTCTTAATTGTATCTCTCTCTTATCTTTCTCTTCATTGTATCTTTCTTATCTTTCATCTCTCTGTGTGTCTATATCTCTCAATGGTTCGAGATCGATAGGGATCCATAGAGGTAGAGAGAGAGATGGTTATAGCTTGATAGAGATGTGGTTATAGATTGATAGATTGTTGGGAGATGCAGAGAGATGCATAGAAATTGCTAAGAGAGATTGCATAGAGAAGATGGTTTTAGAGTGATGGATAGATGGAGATTGTTAAGAGATGTGGGAGTGATGGATGGATACAGAGGGGGGAGGTGAGATGAGGGGATTGAGTTTTGTATTTTCGCTTCCCGTTAATTTGTCTCCGTTTTATATTTATCGAAGTGAATGACGACGATGATGACGTCATTGATGACGATGTCGATGGTGACGTCGATGACGACATTGATGACGACATTGACGACGATGACGACATTGATGACGACGATGATGACGATGTCGATGACGACGTCGATGACGACATTGATGACGATGACGACATTGATGATGACATTGATGATGACGACGATGACGACATTGATGATGACATCGATGACGACATTGATGACGTCATTGATGACGACATTGACGACGATGTCGATGGCGACGTCGATGACGACATTGACGACGACATTGATGACGACGATGATGACGATGTCGATGATGACATTGATGACGACATCGATGACGACATTGATGATGACGTCGATGACGACATTGATGACGACATTGATGACGATGTCGATGACGACGTCGATGACGACATTGATGACGATGACGACATTGATGATGACATTGATGACGATGACGACATTGATGATGACATCGATGACGACGACGATGACGACATCGATGACGACATTGATGACGATGTTGATGATGACATTGATGACGACGACGATGTCGACATCGATGATGACATCGATGACGACATTGATGACGACATTGACGACGATGTCGATGGCGACGTCGATGACGACATTGACGACGACATTGACGACGATGACGACATTGATGACGACGATGATGACGATGTCGATGACGACATTGATGACGACATTGATGACGTCATTGATGACGATGTCGATGGTGACGTCGATGACGACATTGATGACGACATTGACGACGATGACGACATTGATGACGACGATGATGACGATGTCGATGACGACGTCGATGACGACATTGATGACGATGACGACATTGATGATGACATTGATGATGACGACGATGACGACATTGATGATGACATCGATGACGACATTGATGACGTCATTGATGACGACATTGACGACGATGTCGATGGCGACGTCGATGACGACATTGACGACGACATTGATGACGACGATGATGACGATGTCGATGATGACATTGATGACGACATCGATGACGACATTGATGATGACGTCGATGACGACATTGATGAC